AGCATTTATGTCTCTTTACTGCCACCCTGTTGCTCTTGAGGACCAGAAATATGCAGTGTTGACTTTCATTTTCTCCAATAATCAATATTTATCAGTCACAGGAAGGAACTTTATGCAGTGTCTCATGTTCCTGTTGCAAGGCTCAGTAAGTGGCTAATGGCAGGGCAATTCAGCTTCAAAAGGTAAATATTGTATCTTTGCAGAAAATCTTTTTAGCTTATTATGCACCTAGGTGGAATTTGCATAAAATGTGATATACAGAAATAGAAGAACAAGTCTGTTGAACACAGTGTAAGCAAAGCTGATCTAAAATGTGTTGCAGCACTTTTTTGGTAAATTCCCTGTCTAAAAATACTAAAGCCTTACACAGAAACTTTACCTTTTTGATAGGTTGGTTTTTTTCTCTTTCTCTCTTTCCAGTATGTAGTGCTATTTTTGACTTGAGATCATGGAATATCACTTTTTTCTTAGTAAAAAATTAAATGTAAAGTTGGACATAAACTTGTGGTGTAATTTTCTTGCTCTTACTGACTTAAGCATGTTGTATGTATTCCCTTGTTTTTGGTTTCTGATAGGAACATCGTTATGGAAACTTGCATCAGATTATACAGCAAGGGCTGACTCTCTTAATGCTTTAAATGCTTTTACAGAACACTAGGCATAACAAATGTCCTTGTCTGTCAGATACTAGGCAGCATAAGTACTTCGGTATGAAGATAGCCCTTCCCCCCCACCTTTTCTATAATGTAATGTAAAAACAATGCAGGTACCAAGTTAGGTTAATGGACTAGTGTCCTAGTGTGCTTAGATTGGTAAATGATTAAGTTCATCAACAGTTAACTTGTGTTTTTCCCATAAATGCTATTTAAGTGATAGTGTTTTGGGCTTCCTGTTCCATTCCCTTGCGGGGCTCTGTATTTCTGTGTGTTAGGTTGCAGGTAGCTGTGGACTTGCCTGGGTGTGCGGTGGGAAGCAAGTGGGAGCTAGCACCTCCTCCCACAGGCTCCAGAAATGCATCCCGTCCTCCAAGGACCCCAGCAGAGGGTCAACGCTTCCTTTCAGTGAGGAGGGGGAGGGAAGAGGACGCTTTGCTTTAAAGGCCGCCGCCATCTTTCTGCTTGGAACCAAGTTTGCTGCTCCGTGTTAAGTCACCTCTTGGTCCTATCTGTAGCAAGGTAGACAGGATGACTAGACTCGCCCCTTTGGGATGAGATGTATCTATATTCACCTGTCTGTTTACTTATATATTGCTATATAGCAATTATAATAATAGTTTCATTTTCCGTTCCCTGAGAATGACTGGAGAAGGATCTGGAGAGCAGCAAAATAAATTAGGAAATTTGCTCTTTTAGTAATTACCCCAATGGGATATAAATTTTCTTATAAATTTCCACTTCCTTATTTATAAAAGTCAAGGCAAATATGTGTTGCATTATGTGTAGACAGTCATTATGGTTGTATATGTCAGGAATGAAAACCAGTTGTGTTGGAGGTTTTCTTGAATTCTCTTTATAGGCAAGTCTTACGGAAGTTTTTATACATTATCGTAAATGAGACATTTTTGAGGAACTTTCACTTTCCAGCTTTAGCATAAAACCTAAACCTCAGTGGCAACCTTAAAATAAATTACTGATTCTGGACCTAATATATACTTTATGTATATACACTAATATATACTAATGTACACTTATTTCAAAGGTTAGGATGTCATTGAATCTTTATACTGTAGCTCTTGTCTTCTTAGTTGAATTATTTACAAGCTTTTTCCTTAACACCGAGTATGTTATTTTTTGTGTATATCTTGGCAAGTTGCTCTAGAATTCTTTACCTACCAAGCCAATGCCTTTTGGCAGTTTATTTTAATGGGACTAGTGTTAAAGGTTTTAACTTACAACCATTTAGGCCTCTTTCTAAATAGACCCGTTAGAGAAAGAATCAATAGTTAACTGTTGCTGCAGCTCTTCAGTTCAAAATTTGCCATTCAGACTTCTGGCGGTTCTTGATAATGAAGAAATTCTGCACAGGAAGTTTCCAAATCATTTCGTAACCACTTAATCTCACAGAATTGGTGAGCTTTGATTGCTCTGGAACGATAGAGTTGACTCACCTACACAGTATGAACATCTACGCAACTACCTAGATGAAGTTACAGAAAGCAGCAGCAGTTTGAGCCCCTTGGTATTCTGCTCTCCCTTGTCAGACTGCAGAGAGTAGGAGGAGCTCAGTGGTACTAGGAGGAGCTTTCTGGTTGTTACCTGGGAGTTCAGACTGAGAGAAGAAACGTGACCCTTGGGAAGGTGAGGAGAAAGAGGAGGTGTCAGGCTAACTTTACAGTGCGTTAGCTAGAGTTGATGGTTTTGGATAACTTGTTTCCTCCTTTGGTACAGGTTGCTTCTGTGTGTGTTGGGTGACTTCAGCAGTACAGGGCAGCTGCCTGAGCACTCATGGCCTTAAGAAGCACTGATGTGCTCAGCACATCCACGGGGGCAGCAGGGACGCGAGAACCGTGCTCAGTTGACTGGGGTACCGTGTGGACTACCCTTGGGCGTTTCATGGCATGGCCTAGATACGCTTGTAGCTAAACCCTGGCATCAGAAAACTCTTTTGGTACTGAGAATCACATCTAGGAATTTTATACTTCCTTTGAGGTATTTGCCAGTGATTCTAGTATATCTTTGACCTTTGAGGAAACGCTCTGAGGAACACCTCCATGCTTTGAATGAGTCAAATAAGAAGTAGGATAAAATAGGTATCTGAGGAGAAGAAATTACAAATTCTTTGAAAAGGTACCAAAAATGGTACCCAAGCTTCTTCTCAAGAGTCCAAGCTGATCAGCTCAAAAGTAAAGCATGAAGAGAGCTACGCAATGTTTCCAAAACTTGTAGCAAAAGATTTACATTCTGTACTTGCTTTTAGAATGCAGTAAATACCTAAGGTTTAAATTGTAAAACGGTATATTTTTACACTAAACATTTGGAATTCAAAATCTGAATATGAATATAACTTTTGTATCTCAGAGCTATTTTTTCCTGTGCGACTCTTTCAGCAGTTCTGAACCTGTAGCTTAGCTTATTCATCATAACTGCTCTCTGGAACATGTTTCTAATAGACTAAAAGATAAGAAATGTGTTTAATAAAAATAAATAAAAAAATAATAATAATAAAAAGCTTTTATTGTGTAGCCCTTTTAAAAGCAACCACGGAAGTTGTGTGTGCCAGTATAGCTGTTACCATAAATCTTGAATTTCTGTGGCAATCTGAGCAACTCTCATGAGTGTCCCTACCCAGGCAGATGATGTAAATAGGATAAAGGGGGCATTAAATAATGAAACAAAGGAAACCTTCACCTCACCAAACTCGCACGAGTTTGATTTTATTTATTTATTAAGTAAAAGATTATTTGATAACTAGTGCTTAAAAGCAGACTAGCTCTGTGGCACTGGTATCCATGCAGTTTAACATTCCTTTTTGCTATACAAAACTTCCCCTTTTGGTATATAAATTTGGTATATCCTTTGGTATATAACTGTAAGGGCTCTATCAAATGCTGATGTGCAGAGTTCAGTTTTGAGAACTAAACAGCGAATTAGTGCAATTGCATACATTGTTTGTAGTGCCCATGGTAATGTTACAATAAAATGTTGATATTTTTATTCTTTGCAAAAGTTTGGAAGTTTGGAGTTGAAAGGTCTTTTGATACCCCACGGTGCCCTTGTTGATTCTAATTTTAGTGATACAACTGATGAGACTTCAGCTAATGAGTAAGTGTCAAAAGTTTTAATTTACAGGATTGTTAGAATTGCAAGCGTTGATTCTAAGTGTCCCAGATTCCAGGTAACTTCTTCCTCTGTGAAATTAAATTTAACTTATCTGAGAGAACTCAGCAACCGTGAACATGATTGCCTGCTCAAATGACAGGGCAGAAGGGACACAGTCAATTCAGGCTTCTTTATTTTGTCTATTCCAGTAAAGACTTCTGGATTGGAGTCCTGAAACTAAAAATTTGCTGTCTGCACAATGCTTGCTTTAAGCTGTCTCAAAGCCCTCAAGTCTTTCAATGACTTAAGGAAGGATTTTGAGTTTAGTAGGGAGGTAGGTGTCTTTGCAGACATTTTGATGCAGACCTGGATTGCAAACAAGAGAAATGGATTCAGGATCTTGGGCATATTTAAACCTAGGCTAAGCCATAATAGCATTAGCCTTTGTTATGTTCAAATATGGCCTCGGGATGAAAACCTCATGATGTGCTCCAAATTTTGACTTGCCTGCTAATTTTATTCTTACTTTGCTTGCTGTCTTTGTTGCTCTGCCTTATTGGTTTGCATATTTATTTATTTTTGAAACTAAGTAAAAGCTGAATTCTTTAAAGAAGCTACATTTAAGTAGATAATGGCTCTTGATACTGGTCTCTCACGTTCTAGTGAAAGTTTTCTAAACTCTTATGTCAAAATGTGGTGTGCAAAAAAAAAAAAGAAGAAATTATTTCTTTTCAGAAAAGTTACTTTTTGGGTTTAGAAAAATACATGCATCTTCATCATAAATTAGACAAGCCAGCAGCTTATACAAAGTTGTTATAGCTATTTCAAAAATTTGAATATGTAAAACTAGAAATATTTTAAAAGCAGATTCCCTCATGACCTGTTAAGCTGGGAGTTCAATAGTTTTTTCCTTAAACTGAAAGTGGTAAAATAAGAGCACCTCAGATGTCTCTAGTAAGCAGTGTTTTGTGTGTTAGTCTTGAAATTGAATATGGTGTAAAATACTAAAGTCATTATTACTACATTTTTAAGATCTTCAAAGGATTTCCAAGTGACAGTTTCTGAAAATGCTCATGATGCTCCAGGTGCTCACACACTCAGATGGCTTTTACCAACCTATCATAAATATTTTGTTTGGTATTCTTGCAGCTTACCTTCAAATATGATGTCTTTCAGTCCTTATCTGAGGATGACTATAGAAGTACTTTTATTATACCTGTCTGTCACATGTTTTTCATTTAGGTTCAGACAAAGAAGGAAGAACCTTTGCCACCATCGCTTAGTCAGACCATTCCAACTTTCTATTTTCCTCGAGGATGTCCTAAGGAAAAAGTGAATATAGATGCTGTGATTTCCAAAATTGAAAGAACTTTCTCTGAATTTCCAAATGAGAGGGCAACTTTAGAAGATATGGGGAAAGTTGCGAAGGTAAGGATTTACTGGCTTTCTATGTTCAGTGCTGTAGACCTGTGGAAAGGAAATAGGAATTCAGTGTCTTCTGTTTTCTTGCAGTTTGTGTTTTCATCTCTTACAAGGTAGTATCAGTAAGACTTCTTGTTTAGTGTGACTGATAGCGCAGCTATGTGAGCAAAATCTTTGAATTAACTCTGTCCTAAACTTTTCTACGTCAGGCTTATCAAAAGAACAGGGCAAAACCCAAAATCTGACTAATTTTTTGTTTGCTTAAACTGCCAAACACTGAAGGCCTCAGTATATGATCTGCACACATGATGGATCAGCCCTCAGGCAAAGCACTGTTAGTCTGCGCTTTGGTTTCAGGACTCCAGAGTATATTAGTTGTGTGATGAAAATGCCCGTAACTAACATTTGCAAATTTTGTTTTTGCACTGAAGCCTCCTGAACTTCCATTATAAAACATTGAAATCCACAATGGTTTGAGATTTGGGATCATTGCACTTCTGTGGTTATTGAAGCAGTAATCTAGAGTTACTGTAGAGTGATTAAAATACTGGGTTGGCAGCAAAGTTGTGGAGGCAGGCTTGAGTGAAAAGAGGGGGTGGGTTGTTTTTACTTTGTGATGCATGACAAACTAGTTTAACAAAATGGAAATTTAAGTTGTGTTGTACTCTATCAACTCTTGACATATTATCACTGGAAGTCATGATCTTGAGTTCTCGTTCCTTTTCCCATTACTTTGCACGTTAAATCCACAGTCTAGAAAACAGAAACAAAGACCTTCACAAGAGAGTTCTTGAGAGTTCTTGAGAACTCAAGAGAGTTCTCAAGACCTTCTCATAATTAGGATTTCAGAAACTCCTGGCTTGTCCCACCAGAAGTGTTTAACTATTTAGCTGGATAATTGGATCCTTTCCTTCCACAGCTCCTTTCTCTATGGAAATAGTGCTTCAGCAAGAGGTGGAGGGTGCCAGTCATCTATAATTCAGTGAAAAAGGTGCCTTCCAGAAACAGGAATGGTCTAAAGCCTCTCAGACTGAGCAGAGCAATTGTCAAACCCACATTTCTTTGGTGTTGGTTTTTGGGTTGATTCTTGGTTTTGGTTTGCTTTGTTTTTATGCAAGTAATGGATGAAAAGTAACTGTGCCTATTCCTCTAGAAACTTTGTACATTATACAATATGCCTGGCCTTGAATGGGATCCTCAGGTGTGGGTTTGTCTGTGGCTCCTGAGTCGCAGCCTGGGTTAGGGCAGGAGATGCTACTTTGTTGTTAAGACTGAGGAAGTTTGGAACAGGGAGAAACAGCCCTGAGGGGAAGGGGACCTCTGAAGCTTTGAAGTTGCTGCTGCCAAGTGGCGCGAAGGAAGTGGCCACTGCTGGCCATGCTGGAAGCTGGAGAGAAGGTACATGTCCCAGTGCAAGGATGCAGACAGGTTGAGCCATTCTGGGAACCAAACAATGCAAACTTGCTCCAGTCCAGAAGGTGCGTAGTAGTTGGTGCTGTCTTGAGCTCAACTTAAGCACATCTGGCCCTTCAGCAGAGCCTATTAGCTTGCACTTTATTCAGCTGCTTGGAGAGAGCAGATACGTGACTGTGTTCAGCTATGGGGCGTGCTGAAAACTGCATGGTGTTTTGCTTTCCCCTTTCAGATTTACACCTAAAGCAATTGCTTAAACTTGCCTATTTTGGAGGGTACAGTTGGTTTCAAAAACAGTTTTAAAAAATTGTGGTTGTTGTACATTTAGAAATACTTTTACCCCTCTATGCATATATGCACCAATACAAACTATTCTCCTGTGATATTGCTTAACACTTACAAAAATTAATGTTTGAAAAGTTTGTAAATGAGGGAGTAACCCTCAGAATTAATCAATGAACTGACTTGATGTGCACTTTAATTCTAGGCTTGTGAATGCCCACTTTACTGGAAAGGTCCCTTGTTTTATTGTGCTGGAGGTGAAAGAACAGGATATGTGTCAGTTCATAAATTCGTTGCAATGTGGCGGAAGTAAGTGGCTTGCATTTTTAGAGGTACTGTATATCTTGATTTAAATGTGTTTTTCTAAACTGTTGAAAGGGATATCCAGCCTGTAAAGGGAAGAAAACATTTTTCTACAATCAAGCGTTGACAGCAATCTTGTAGCTAGGGAAATGTAAATAGTTCATCCCTTTAAGCACAGTAAATACTTACTTTTACGAATTTAATGTTTTTAAATATTTGTGGTAAATGACTACAACTGTTTATGGAGAAAGTAAAAACTATGATTCTAACTTCAAAAGTATGTTCTAGAAAAATGCATTCCCTTCTGCATAGTTCTGCTTCCTCTTCTAACTTGATATCTTTTTATTTAATCAGTCTGCATATCCAGCTTCCTTTATATGTAAATATAGGAGACCATATAGTTGCCTAGAAATGTATAAGAAAGCTAGATGGCAAAGAAAGTGTCACGAGTGCTCGCCTGTTCTATGTAGATAACTGCAGGGCACTTTGACACTTGTAATTAGTTTTTGAATTAAATACTGTGGTCGCGGTTTCATAAGCTCTGCATGAGTAACTGTCAATGTAGAGCACTAAATGTGTGCATCTACATTTCAGAATACTTCAGACCTGCTATGATGATGCTGCAAAATTTGTCCATCTTCTGATGAACCCTGGATGCAACTACTTGGTGCCCGAAGACTTCATTCCATTTTTACAAGTAAATTGCAACTGGAAAGCACACAATGACCTGGCAGAACATTTTAGTTTGTTTGTTTTGAGTTAAACATACTTTTCCAAGGTTTTAATTTAAAATGTTCATTGCTAATATATGGGTTGCGAACAGGTGACTTAATTTACAGCTAACCACAGTTAACTACTATTTTATGTGATGTGAGGGGTTTTTCTCTCTCTTTTTTTTTTAAGCTAGTGACAGGCATTTATTTAAAATTGCTTGCAAATTTGTGAGGAGTAGCTCACCTGTCAGAAAAGCTTCAGGATTTAGAAAGGAGTTGAAGCTATTAAAGTTAAGGAGATCTTCAGGAAGGCAAGGGAAAAGTGGCAGATGAATGCAAGACCTAGGACTTCCTCCCAGAGAAGCAAACCATACCAAATGAATGAATAAAGCCTAATTGTTTTTCAGTGGACTGTAGTCAGACACAGCAGTGTGCTACTAATGGCTGTGGCAGCTTATAACATAAGTCCCTCAGATGAACATATTCTTCTAAAATATATTCTTATAGCTTTTAAAAGATAATTTTGGAAATATCACCACTTATTTTTAAAAACATGAAGTAAGCTGTAAATGAGCTTATTAATAATGATGGTATTTAGATATGATCTGTATTGGCTAAGGAAGCAGATGTGCTCTCTGTGCAGGTGACTTTATATGGATACTAATGCATACGGTTTGAAGCACTGCTCTTCCTTGCTTTTTAGGATGTGGTGAATAGTCATCCTGGCCTTTCCTTTTTAAAAGAAGCATCTGAATTTCATTCTCGATACATCACCACAGTAAGTGTTTTCTGTTTGGAAAAGTTACTTTTTGTTAGCTGAGTAGCAAATTTGGGAAATTGGTCACTATATGTAAAATCTCCATCATACCTGGCTCCCATTTTCTACATGACTTAGAAATCTTGTGAAGAAATAACCATATATATATATATGTGTGTGATTATTATATGATTTATGCGTGTATATGTATAAAAACTGTAATCATAGTTTTCTTAACACATAGGAAATTTGTTGAACTTAATATTTTTGAAACAGTCAACTGTAGGAGTGTAAAATAAGCTAATGAACCTTAAATGAAGAACTGACTGTGCTCCTCTTGAACACTTGGTTGTGGCTATACACTGTGCTCTTTAGAATCCTGGCCCTACTCCAGAGATTAATTAAATGGAATTTTGAATGAAAGGTCTATATTAAAGTGGTTATTTCGGTATTAAGTAAAATAATGATAATAGTGAAGCTGCTTACTGTTTTCCTCTCCAAGGATTTTCTTTCTGAACAGATTTAATGCGTGAAAAGTTCAATTTCTCTTAGTTATGTGACTGAAGTAATCATTTTTTACATAAGAGGGGAGTTAGTGACATTAAATTTTCTCAATAGTGGACTGGGCAGCCAGTTTCACTGAAGTCAAAAGATGAAAATTCTCCAAAAGGACATTTAGATCACTTTCTGTGTGCATGTCAAACCTGATTACCAAATATTCACTAATAAAAATGTGCAGGGAATGGTCATATTTTCCTTATAGTTGGACCTATCCCTAAACTGTGGTAGCTTTTATTTTAAAGTAGGAACTCCAGTTCTGCACACTCTAATCCCATTTGACAGTGGTTCTGGTTACTCATACCATTCCTATAGAGACTGCCAGCCTAACTATAACTTCCCATAGTAGGTTTTGCCTCTTATTGTAGTGGTAACAGGAGTGCCCAAAACTTTCCTGTCAGATATGATTCTTCCTGTGAATAATCTTAATTAATGGATTAAATGGGATCAAATCTGCTCTGCTTGAAATGCTGAAAATTCCCTGCTTGTCCTGAAGGGCAGTAGGAGAGAAGAGATCTGGCCATTTCCAGTTACTTGAGTAGCTCTGAGTATAGCAATATCAGACAAATTAGTATTTGGCTGATAAAATTGTCTAGTCCTCAACAGAAACTAATATTTAATAATAAAAAACTGTTATGAATATATCAAGAATATTTGAAGTATCCGCAGAACAAGAAATGGAAGGAGGGCTGTCTGTCTTGTCTTTCTTCAGTAAAGATGGATGGAATAACTGACCAATGCAGATTTTAAACTAATGTTCTCCAAGCTACTACTAATTTATAGATTTTTTTTTTCTCAAATTGAAGCATGACATTTTATAACTGTATGCAAGGTAATAGTTAAATTTATAGAATCCTTAGTGTTGCTCTCTGAAGGTATAGCTAAAGGACTTTGCAAGTGCTGTGGTTGAAGATTTAATGGCTGTTAATGCTAATTTGCAGTTAGAGGTTAAACAATCCATTTTTCTACTAGCATTCATGTATGTATGTATATGTGTGTGTGTATATATATGTGTGTGTGTATGTATCTTCTGTGAAGCAGGTGTCTACAAGCAGTTCCCTCTGCAATGGTGTAGGTTAATTGGTCACAGTTCAGTGGTGTAAGGTCAGCTACATCAGCATTAGACTGAGCTATATTAAAACAGTGTTTCTTGACAAAGAGATAATACAATTAATCTGTAAATAAGCGTTGTATGAATCCTCACTATAAATCATTGAAATTATAATCTGTGTATCGCACAGCTTCCTCTCCCTTCTGACAGAGCATTGTGCAGCACAGTACAGAGGACAATTTTCAGGCAATTGGCTTATACTCTGATTGGATTCAGTTTAGAAAAACAGTTTTTGTTCCCTGTTGTCTCCATCAAACATTCAATTTTGTTTTTATTTTTAGAGCAGTTAAATGTATAACAGATGAGATAATGACATGCAGATGGATTAAGCTGCAAAGCTAAGGCAAAAACCTTTTTAGAAAAAATTGCTTTGTAGTATAAGCCAAGAATGGGCCTTCTCTAAACTCACAATTAGAAGTGAGCTAATTGGGTTTCAGAAATAGGCTATTTTTTCTCCTTTCTCAGTTTATTGAACCAGCTGCTCTTCAAAGTAAGAGCTGCAGAGCTTGCTGTGCACTACAGTTTAAGCTTTATTTTAAAACTTTATACTTCTTTTTGTAATATAGAAATAGTTGGTTTAAAATAATGATTTACTGCAGTTAAAGACAGAAGTGATAAATAGCAAAGTCTTTAGTTTTCTGGGTTTTTTTAAAGAGATTATTTTTGGGGAGAAGTTGTCTAAAAAATTACTTCTTTTTGGCTGGCAACTACTGTATTGTAAATAAAACAGCGTAAATGCACTGCTTACTGCATTGATAATCAGCTGTATATAATTCATCTTCAGTGAAGCAATTATAATTTGTGCTATGCTTAGCTGTTTTTTGTCTCCATTTTAGTGATGAATGACTTATTTGCAATATATATCTGGTTGGCAAGTCAAAATAATTGAGATGTCTACCAAATTCAGTTGAAGAAACAATGTGTTAGTCATTTATTAACTAAAGTTAAATTATGCCGTATGCTTAACTCTGCTGAAATATTTTGTCTGTAAAACTGATCTAAACAGAAGTACTGGAAACAAACTCACTACCAGTTTTCATCATAGCATAAGAAAGTCATCTTTCTTACATAAATATTATTCATTTAGAAAATATTGTATATGCTTTTCAATACTACTGTTTTTCAACTAGGTTTAAATAGAATGAAATTGAATGAAATATATATTCTTTTTATACTCACAAGGAGGTATAGTTTCTATCAAATGTTGGCCTGTTGTGGTGACTTGAGAAGTAATGGCATGTCCTAGTTCTGTAGTTTTATTTTTTAGACAGTCCCCCTTCTATCTGTGTTTCACTTATAAAGTGTTTTTTTTTTTTTTTTTTTTTTTTTTATAGTAAACATTAGGTCTTCAAATTTGAAGTCATGAGGTAAATTGCTGGGTTTCTTAGATGATACCCTGCAGTTCTGGAAGATTGGGAGGTAGCTGAAGCTGTCAGCAGACACATTCTGAATAGCTGCAGGTATCCTGCAGCTTCACTGTATGAGACATGGGTAACGCAGCACTGAAAGAAAAAAAAAATGTATCCAGATGAGTTTAGATGCAGATTTGAAATAGTTTTGTAATACGACATGAGAGAAGCATCAACCTTTAGAATAGTAAGAATGGAGTTGTGAACCCTTCAGTAGAGGGGAGCGATGGACTTCTAAAATGCAGATGAACTAAACTTTTTTCTCTGGTAACAGATTATTTTGAGGCAGTTTAGTTAACATACTTAAGATCACTTTTCAATTTTCTGTTTCTTGCAGGTTGTACAGAGAATATTTTATACGGTAAACAGGTCCTGGTCTGGGAAAATCACTTGTAATGAGCTCAGGAAAAGCAACTTTTTGCAGGTACAGAACATGTACAATTGGCAAGGTAGATGATCCTACTTGCCTAGCAACCGTTTCAACTAAATGCTTACGGGATCAATAAGTGCTATTTCTCTCTTTTCCAAAAACTAGCAAAAGCTAAATTTCATCAATTCTCATACACTGGCACATATTTCACTAAGTGTCATCTTTTATCTGGAGTTGTGCTTATATGTAGTTCACTGGCAGTAGCCTGGATGATCTCCTCATGCTTCTCTGCATACGTTACCTTTCAACCCTGGGTATTAAATGCCTTTTGTCATAGTGAATATTATTTACTGTCTCTGAAAGTAAATTAGTTTCCCTGAAAGACTTTTAGACAACACTTGCATTAACTTGGTTATGAAAACTCGAATCATTCAACAGCCATTTTGCATAGTCTTTAATGGGGTCTGTTTATCCTTCTGCTACTAGAACGTGGCATTATTGGAAGAGGAAGCAGATATTAACCAACTGACAGAGTATTTCTCATACGAACATTTCTATGTAATCTACTGCAAATTTTGGGAGCTGGATACAGATCATGACCTCTACATTGACCGGAAGGATTTAGCTCGGCACAATGATCATGGTATGGCAAATGAAGCACCTTTGTGGGTTAAATGAGCTGAAAACTTTAAACTGCGGAAGCAGTTAGTTAATTGTCAAGGCCAGTGTTCATGAACTGTTAGAATAGCTGCCTGCTGACTTGGAAATAAAGCAGACAAGTCATCTGTGATAAACTTTGTGTCTAGCAATACCAAATTTGAAGAAAATTCTGGCTTTCAACTATGGTCTTGGCAAAGAAGTAGAAGAGGAAAGTCACTTGTAAATGTGTAGGCTTGACTTTTAAAGAGTGACTTAAACCTTGGTATAAGTGCCTTCGTTAGAAGATTGTTTTTTTATCTTTGAAAACAATGTATTTTGCTGATGTTATTCAAGAGGCATAGCTTTTAGGGAAAAGAATATGAGAAGAGTAGAAAAGCGAGACAAACATCAAATGCTCTGCTTAACAAAAACTTTTGTTGACTCCATTACAATATATTTTGTTTTAATATTATTCAGTGTTTTCTGCATTTACAAGCTGCAGTGATATTTGTCTGAGCTTGTGCAGTTTTGCACAGTTGTAACCCACTTAAACATTCTTGTAGCTTGTTTCAATCTTTCCTTTCAGAGGCTTCATGTCCATTCTCATCTTAAAATTATTTCTTTCAGTGTGGGAAGCTTATTTAAACACACAGTGGCTATGGTGGCAATGGGATATTATCCATCACCAAAGGAAAACACAGTTTTTGTTGCTTCTGAAAGCATGCCTGCTGAATGTGGTGCGCTAGGGCACTGTGGAAGGAAGGCTTTTGTTCAAACCCTTGCTCTACTGAGCTAATCTGCAGCAGAAAATAAGCAGAAATGAAATCAGGCCACAGGCAGTTTAGTTCTACACCTTTGTGCATCTTTTAAATTCCAGAATATCTGCCTAAATTTTAAGGACTGCTACATAATGAGAAATAGACTAAGTATGAACATAAACTTGATAGGATTACCCATTTTTTGACGTAGGTCTTTGTGTGTGTGTGTCAAAAGTAAGTAATTTTGATTGACTACTGCTTTCCTGTTCCTCCTTTCCTTTTCTGGACTGGCCTAATTTTAGTATATCAAACACTTTAATGAATAATTGCAAACAGTACCTAGGTGTTGTTGACAAATGAACGATTTCTCGGTGTTCTAAAAATAGACAGAAAGTTTCAGACATACTATGGTGCTGCTTCAAACCAGCTATCCTACAGTTTGGGGAGTAAGTATAAAGTAGGCAGTAGTGTTCTGATTAACATAGTATGGTGATAATATCAAATGAATATAAGACATATAAACAGTTTTAATGGTTAACCACTTGGGTTAATTATCAATATTCCTGTAATATCTTAAATGCGAGACAGATTAACCCAAAGTAATTCTGTTTCTGTGGGAACAGTATCTTGTGTGGCTTTGAGTACCATTCACACATTCTTCGGGAAACAGTATCTTGAACCCAGTATTCTGGCACCGGGTCCTTCGCAGAAAGCAATACTCAGTGCAGACATCTCTAACATCCCCGAAGCGGTCTCAGAATAGAAGCGTGGATCAGAACCACGCTGGAAGCACCGCAGGTCACAGCCAGCTACGTACGCTCGTTACGTAGTGATGTTCTAATCTGGTTTTGGCTCTTTGTCAAAGGCTGGGTCATATAAACTGGAATGGCCCTCGAAAACACAGTTTTCTAGTAAATGCCCTTTTAGTAATCAGCCAATTTTGCTGTTTTTATCACGTTGCTATTGTTGCTTCAAGCTTCAATTCAAAGGTGGTTGTTTTTAACGTGGCTTTGGAGACTGCGTTAAACGATCCTCCTCAATGGGACTCAGCAGGGTTAGTGAGAGCTACACTTGATCTTTCTCACAGATGTGTAAGAGGTTTTCAGTAACCTCTTCAACTAGACAATGCAAAGCGAAAATAACTTGTGTAAAAAATACTGTGTCAGTTATGTACCTTTCTTTTACAGCAATATCAAATAGGATGATAGAGAGAATCTTCTCAGGAGCAGTAACAAGGTAATTACTCTGTGTGCTGATTTATATCTATATTTGCTCGCTAAATTGTGTGTGACATTTTTAGGATAGATGACTTCCCCTAGAATGCAATAGTGAATTTGGGGGTTTAGTGCTGTAGTTCAGGCACTGCAGTATTCGTGGACTCTTTGGCTGAGTCCAAGATTTTTACTTGTTGCTTTACCCATATTAGCACTATCAATTGAGTATTGTACAGCTCAACAGGGATGGGAATGAGGAAGGGAAGAGGGTTGGCTCTGGCTTTGTCCATCAACCTGTAGAGTTCTCAAAGAGAATTGCAGGTTTCAGTAGTGCCTGTAATATGAATGCTTATTGCATAAACAAGTTTAAACCTCCAACTGAGGTATTTCATGCTTTTGACTGTCATTCTTCATTGTTCTGCTTGAATCAACTTAGTCTTGTGTGTACATGCTCCTCAGTTTTTAAACCTTTTGCTGGCATTCATGCTCCATGTGCAGCTGGAAGGTGATTGATAAACAGACACGACATGACAGAAGTTGAAATGAGATTTGGCATGCACATGTCTAGAGCTTACACCTTTTATATGGAAGCAATTTGGGCAAGACAAAGCACACATCATTTTTCTAAACATTGTGAGGATACCTATAAATTGAATTTTGTGAATGGATATTCCTGGGAAAGGCTGCCTCTCTGACTTTTTACTAGAAAGCTTGACAGCACCTGAATACTTTTTGAACAGATGTCGTGTTCTGTAGTATAAGAGTAGAAATAGACAATTACTTTCTTGTCACTGACACTTACTTACTGAATAACTTAATTTCATTCTTATTTTTATATTTCTATCCTAGTACTCTTAGCTGATGGAACTGTACAACTAACTGGTATAAATTAAAAAGAAATGGAAATAGCTCCTCTGTTCATAACAAAGGAACTGTATCCAAGCAGGGAAGGTGCAGTTTTCTCTGCATGGGTGCTATCCACTTGTTACTCTTCTCTTTAAATACCCACTGCAGTAGAAACAGAACAGGGCACATGAAGCTCTCTTATCCTAAGTGATCAAAGCTGTCTCTGACAAATTTATGAATGGTTAACAGCAATGAGGAAAGTAATCTTTACATTCACTTACTAAACTTAAACATTTCTAAAACAAATTCTTTATTTTTTTTCTGCATTGGCCTTCAAGAGGTAGAAAAGCACAAAAAGAGGGAAAAATTAGTTACGCTGATTTTGTCTGGTTTTTGATATCTGAAGAAGACAAAAAGACTCCGACAAGGTAAGAATGAATTTGTTCTAACAAGTCTGAAAAATGGCATTATTTATTCTGATCCTTGAACGGGAAGCGTTGATGCTCATTTAGAACTAGCAGAAGCTGAACGGTGACAACGTGAATTAAAAGGTGGCTGCAGTTCGTTCTTTATGGGTCTTACTTCTCAGTTGCTTCTAGTGTTACCACTGCAAGGATCTATTTTAATGACCTCTATGATGCTAATTAAATGTTACTGTTCCACATGATGTGCGTAGCCTACTGATGGTCAGAGTCACAGGTGCAGGAAAATGCAGTTATTCCATGGTGCCAGAGATCTTTGGGAACTACACAGCTAGCCATTAGTTGTAGGATATTGCTAAGAAACTTATTGTGTGAAGTTATGGCTTCGATATGAAAAAGAATCTGGGCTTTTGATGGCACAATCTCATTTTTTTTCATTGGCTCTCTTGAGTACTCATATAACGCCACATGTTTCAGTCTTCTCATCTCCTGCATCATTCCCTTAAAGCTTACAAGTTTTCCACATGCAAACAATGTTGTATGGCATGGCAAACATCAGAAACTCTTATCACAATGGATGTTTCTTGTGTAATGACTTCCTATGGCATTAGGAAACGTAGGCATGAGTCTAATTTTGCCTCTGTAAGTAGTGCAGCCTTTGAAACAGGCAGCTCAAATTCTTAACAAGCATGTTTAAATGGTTCCTTTCTATTAATAAAATTACTGAATTTCAGCATCGAGTACTGGTTTCGCTGCATGGATCTTGATGGAGATGGTGCTTTGTCTATGTACGAACTAGAATATTTTTATGAAGAACAGTGCCAAAAATTAGATAACATGGCCATAGAACCTTTGCCATTTGAAGACTGTTTGTGCCAGATGCTGGATCTTGTGAAGCCACAATACGAAGGTAAGAAAATCCTTTTTCCGTTATGTAGTTTCTGCTCCTATGGATTAGGAGTTAACGTTCCCCTAAGAGCATTTTGTTGGCTGTGCTGACAAATAGGCCTTTGTGTGGTCTCTGTGAAGCCTTTTAGTTCTTATTAATTGAATGGTCTTCTGAGGACAGGCTAGTATCCTTTTTCATACTAAAAGGTAACATGCCGTTTATAAATTCCTCTAAGGCTTTTATTTTGGGTTTAGTAGCCACAGTTAGTCTCAAATGAAATCCCATCACTCTGTCTGAGGCGGTGCTCTCAAGAAAAGCTCTCAAATGTTGCTGCCTAGCAGGTCCTAATATTCATTTTTAGATTTTATTTGAGATTCCTGCAGAGGGAACAGTGTCCAAGTGGTGCTTGTCTCTATATCAGTAATGAAATGACTTTAGGAGTCTTTAAGTTTCCCTTAAGACTTTCATATGAATTGGATTAAAAAATGAATATTAAATTGTTCTTAGTTTTGGGGGCATTTTCCATATTTTGAAGTTCATTAAACCTGCTCCATTCTACTCTCCTGTTTGAGATGTATGTTCTTCAGCTGACAGAATTTGAATTTCAGGTTATGCCAAAAAAAAGAAAGCTTAATGCATCATCATGCTTGCTTTCCATGTGCTTTGTGTGCGAATGTCTTCCTGAGCCATTCAGAGCTCAGAGTCCTGTACCAGAGTAGTACTCAGATGTTCTCTGCCTCTGCACTGTTTTTGGTACTTGTCTCACTAATTTCAGTTTGTTTTAGCCCTCATGGAAAAGTGTTCAGGGATTTCTTGAAATCTGAGCTGAAGTCAGAGCATCTAAATGACATGTCTGAGCACTTCAATATAGTTAGCACTAATAACCGTTCTTATGACTATATGTTTTAATGTCCCTTTTAGTGTGTAAAAGGATTTGGCATGCAATCTCGTTGCTGTTATGCAAACTTTGCATTGTAATAAATTCAGAACTGGGCTATTTGCTCTTAAAGTGTTGTTAGGAGTAACAGATTCTGTATTCATAAAGGTGTCAGCTCAAAATTTCTCAAAATTGGCTTTAGAGAACAGAAGCTTCACGTTCTTATATAAAACTCAGTTAATACAGACTTGTGAGGTGAAACAGCTGATAATTTTATAGAAGCAAAAGGAGTATAAATTATGTTTAGGCTGGAAACTCACTCCTAGATACCACGGAATGATGTTCCTAGACCAGCCTTCTGGTGGGGGATTCGCAGTGAAGCAAAGCAGACTCTCAGGAAAAGATTCCCAAAGTGCCTCCCCATGTAGTGTGAGCGCAGGAGACCCTGTCCAGTCTCGTACATCGTGCTCCTAAAAGGCAGACACTTACAATGTTGCTGCTGTACCGCATTTGAAAGGAAAGATGATTGATGTGCACCTCTTCTGTGTCATGAAGATGATGACAGGAGGCTGTGAAACACAACCAAGTGAAGAACTCTTTGGGACAATGAAAATGAAAGCTGAATCTAAAGAGTTCATAAAGTTTCCATCATCTGTGACATGGTGAGAGTGGATCAAGAAAAAAGTTCTGTGTAGTTCGACTTGTAGACTTAAAGAAAGGTCCTTGCCCACAGCTCAGCTGCAGTGTGCACTGCTGCAGGACGCTCCGTGTACCTCCGAGCAAATTCTTGCGTGTGTAGAAAGCTGGATTTGGTTATCTCCTCAATTCTATTCACTTTCTAATGGACTTCTGAGAGACAGCGTAGGAGTCGACAATAGCCTTACATCTTTAAGCTCCCCTTGCAGTCTGTGGAACGCATCTGCACGTGCCTAAATAGGGAGCTTATACAACTAGACCCAAGTTGGTTTGGGGGGTTTTGGCCCTGTCCGTGTGGATCTGCCAGATGCCGCCCAGGTGCCGTTCCTGTCGCTCCGCAGCACTGGCGCTCGCGTGGCGGCGATTCCCAAAGGGATCCAGGGGCAGGGTTGCTGCCTCCCCGTCGCGTCCCCGGGCTCGGGGCGGTCGCAGGCTGTGGTGGCTGTGGTGGCTTCACGGCGCTTCGCTGCGCCCTGACTCCTGCGGGAGAGGCAGCAGGAGCCTGGCTCCATCGGAAGGGAATGAAGGGGAGCTTTAAGGGTTGGCATCTGGCTTCCCTTGTATGTCTGGTGTTTTTTCAGTCGTGCTACCAGGTGACATTTCTGAGCAAGCTGACAGGTAGTTCCAACACTTAACATCCATTGCTTTAGGTCTTCAAAGTGTCACATAGAAATCTCTTTTGGCTTCTGAAGCAGAGAGTATTGGTCACGCTGCGCAAGTGTGAGGAAAACTAGTTTTTATGCAAGTCACTTGTAAGCAGCAAAGTCATATGCACAGGTCTAAACTAAATGCTACGTTTTGAGGGACCATAAAAATTGTTTCAGAGGTTGCAGTAGCTCAGTGAGATGGAGATGCCTGTGAGAGGAATCTGCATGATAGATGGATTTCTCATACGTTTATTAGTAGAGCCACGGTCAGAGGAGATTCCTCCCTGTTACCCAAACACTTCTTGGGATGGAACGACTGACTTGCTGGGGGCGTCCATCTCCTGAGGAAATCAGGACACTTAGCTTACGTGACCTCTAATAGCTGTGTGAAGTAGACTGCGTCTCAGTCCAAGGAGTTGAAGGACAGTAGAAGGGCAGCTAAAGCAAATAGCAAATCTGAAATGTTTAAGTGTTTTCCCACACACACACACGCACACACGCACTTGGAAGGACATTTCCATAGGTGTGTTTTCTTATTATTTTCTTTTTTTCTTCCCTATTGTGCTGAGTCCTACTGGCAAATGTTCTCGAGTAAAATGCTGACTGCTGAATAACGTTTGTCCTTTTTGAAGGAAGGATAGTTACAACTCTAAATATCTTATCCTGAAACCTCTTTTTCAGGAAAGATTACTCTGCATGATTTGAAGAAATGTAAGCTGACAAATGTGTTTTTTGATACATTTTTCAACATTGAAAAATATCTCGACCACGAACAGAAGGATCAATTTTCTGTGTTGCGGGTGAGTATGAAGCCTTCAGAATTTTACTAGCTACATGCTCAGTGCCTAATGCACTTGTGTCTAACTTGCAATGTGGTTGTCTAGGATGGTGAAGGTGAAAGCCAGGAGATCTCCGACTGGGAGAGGTACGCTGCGGAGGAGTACGATATCCTGGTAGCAGAGGAGGCAGCGGGCGACCAGTGGAATGAGGGGTAAGGATGGAGCAGGAGAAGGGGCCAGAGCCCTCCCTGCTGATGGCGAGCCTCACCAGCAGGCTCATCCTTAGGGCTGGTTTTTGTAGGACCTCGTTTGCCTGGTCTGCGTATGTTCAGCAGTGAGGAAGCTTGTACCCAGAACAACATACTCCTTGACAGTTAGGATCGCATTGTTTTGTCAAAGATTAAGTTCTACTTCAAATTCTGGTAGGAAAAAAATTTAAACAATTTCACACTAAAACAAAATGATACTTAAATTTAAGTGAAATAAGAACCTATTTTGAAAAACAAGTCTATTTTTGTACTCATCCTTAAAGGTGACTTTGATATAAGTTCAACTTATATGTATTCAAAGATAAAAGTTGAATTTATATCGACTTGCAAGTATTGTACTGCTGCAGGTGCAGATGAAAAGCTAGGGGCAACTTGTAGAGGTGGAGCTGGGGGTCTTGAGCAGCAAGTTGGATATGAGTTGGTACCAGGCGGACACCTTTGTGGCAGAGGAAGTCAGTGGGACTCCTCCCGCTGCACCAGGAGTGCTGGGTCCAGGACGTGTGTGTGCTAGAATGAATCCAGCAAAGGCCTACGAAGGTGCTTAAGGGACTGGAGTGCCCCTCGTATGGGGAGAGCTGAGAGGTGGGACCGTTCAGCCTGGAGGAAAAGCTGATCTTACTGATACGTATAAATATCTCAGGGGAGGATAAAAAGAAGATGGAGCCAGTGACAGGGCAAGAGGAGATGAGCACAAACACCAGGGATTCCAGAGGAATATAAGAGAGAAAAAAAAAAAAAAAAAAAAAAAAAAAAAAAAAAAACCCTGCTGCGAGGGTGACTGAGCACTGCACCAGGTTGCCTGGCGAGGTTGCAGAGTCTTCATCCTTGGAGATACTCCAGGCCTAGCTAGGCATGGTCCTGGGCAGCCTGCTCTAGGTGAGACCTGTTTGAGCGGGGAAGTTGGATCTCCAAAGGCCTTTTCTGATCTCAGCCTTTCTGTGATTCCTTGCAGTTCTATAAGAACAAACAAATAATAATGTTACCACCCCTAAACCATTCCTTCTTGCTGCAGAGGTTGCTGTTCCGGGTTCTCCTGGAGAACCCCTTGGAATCTGACTTTGCTTTTGCTTGGTGTTAGATTTTCAAAGGGAAGCAATGATGTTCAGCTTTCAACTGGCAAATCCAAGACTTCATTATTTTTGTTGTTAAAAATAAGCCAAGTAAGTGCGATTTTAACTTGCATCTTGGCCTTAAGTGACTGGACCTGTCTAGCAAAAGCATTCCTGAATTTCCCACACCACATGAGCATGAACATCACCAAGCCAGACAACAATATTGATTTTTGAAGTGTCTGTGACTTAATCACTTGGAGAAGAACTAGCTATAAATATTCAAGACTGCTCTAAACCTTGACACAGAAAGATGCTGTAGCAGAGTGAGTCCAAGAAATGTATTAAGAGAAAACATGTGAGAAGAAAGAGTGAGGGAGAGAATTATGATCACCTAGCATTGCCAGTGTGAAGGAGATCACATTCTTAATTCTTCATGGGGCCATCCCTGAAATTTATTAATACTATAGAACTGACAAGCCAGAAACTAACTGAAACCTTATTGTGCTGTGGGTTAGGTAGTACTGACCTTCAGTGTTTCATTTTGTTTCTTCCCCTATGATCATAGACTGAGTTTAGGGTAAGTGTAGAAATTGTTTACTTTTCATCACACAGTGGCAGTAGCTTAGATCCAAGGAAAGGCAGCTTCTACGGTCCGGATGGCTGTGAAATGTCACGTTGAAATAATCAGGGGCTGCCCCGATAAAACCCGTGCGATTGCTGTAATCCAGCAAAAGGCTCCGACTTTGGCCCTCGGTTCCGGAATGCCGTACGAAAATAAACATGTTGAAACCATCAGGAGTCAAAGCTCAGCGTGGCCGCAGGACCAGGTCCCGGCTCCGCTGCCTCCCGTCAGCTCCGTTTCACAGGAGCCCTTCGTGCCCCACGTGCAGTAACACAGCGCGGCGGCTGCCGGCTCCTGCCAAATCTGAGCATCTCAAACCTCAGTCACAGGCCTCCCCAAACATGACCTACTGGAGCACTTTCAAACCTTGTTTTCTATATCTTTTGTTGGTCTTTTTATTTCTGCCCCAGCAATCATCCCTTTCACCTTTCCCATTTGGAAATTGTGCTACTGCTGTTGTGATCATCTAGAATTTGAGAGCTAAGCCCATTCTGACTGTGAGACCAAGTTCCCAAATTCAGAGTTTTTCTGACTAAATTTGTCTTAAGTCCATCCGAGGAAGTTAATAAATATGTTTTTTTCCGGATTCCAGTATGATACAATTATCTTCTAGCCACTTGAGCCTCTTTGAGCTTTGCTCTGAGATAAAACTAGTTCTGTTGTGTAAAGCATAATGCTGGTGGTTCAAAAAAAACTTATTGGGGTTGTCACAGAAGGATTTCGGCTGGCTCCCTACCCTACTGTCCTCACATTGCCATGCAGCTTCACTGGCAACTAAATGTAAGCTGGTAGTAAAATATTCTCTACCTTTTGATACAAGAAAAGAGGGAAACTGGATTAGTCTGTACCTCTGATGAAGGATTTGCATTTATTGGGCTGTAGCATGAAGTGTAATTTTGTAAAGTTCTGAGATTTGGGCACAGTTCCACGCCCAGGAGCCCAGGGGATGTAAAGAGGGAGCCTCAGGATACCGTGATTCTGATTTAGTTATGAGCTCACTGACTGCAGCTGTCTCGGCTAAAAGCATCGCTATGATTCTTGTTTAGGCCAAATTTATATGTGTTATATATACACCCATATATAAGCTTATATAGAAAATATAGCCTAAAAAAAGAATATGTATTTGCATTTTCTTGTTGATTTCTCCCCTCACTTTCTCAAGATGAGTGCCACAGGATTCACAGACAATACTCTTGCAGTTAGAACACTTGTTTCTTTTTGTACCAAACTTTTACTTGGTACTGGAGTTCTGTGACTTTACACAGAAAGCTCATGATAAACTGCAATACAAAATGTTTCCCAATGTAAATTTTAGGATTGTATTTTAGAAAGCTAAATTTGGTAAACTACTAACAAGTTGTGGAGAGGTAGTTTTTTCAGGTACTTCCCTGAAGTTTGTTCCCCTCCCAGCACAGGCACCAGGTTTTCTTTTTATGTCGCTGCAGTTACTGCTTCTGTGCTAGAGAAAATATTGTGGTCTGTAAGTTTAGGTGTGTAAAACACAGAATGCCCTAACACTTGAAAAGCACACCTTAGAATATAACCACTTGTTTCCCTTGAGAATGATGTAGTGGAGTACCATGAGATACGGAAGAAGAGGGAAGGTGTGTGAGACTCAAATACCCAGGTTCACTGCACACGTGAGCGGGTGCTTGTAAACAGCAACTCATTAGTTACAACTTGCTTCTGCTTCTGGCGTGAGTAGAAGAATGTCCAATCTCGTAGAAGAAAATGACAGTAATGAAAGAGGAATCAGGCGTTTCATAGAATTGCAGCCCAGAATTTAGGAGTGCAACTTGCTCAATTACTCTGTTTCCAGTTGAATATGATGCATAGATCATGGTTTAAATGTTGTCTTCCACCTAGATGGATAAAAGTTTTTTTCCTAAGTGTTCCTGAAGTTTTGCTGCCTAATGTTTCCTTGGAGAACAAACAGTAATGCTGACTCTCACTAACTGGTTGTGACTTCCGTGACTAATTTTGTGTCTAACATACACAAGTGTACGTAAGATAAGATGACTCGGATTGACTAACTGGAGAATAAAGATTTCATGTACTTCATCTTGCTGATTTCTGCAAACATCTGTATCAGCAGTTTGTACGCTACTGCGATACAAGTACCGAGCTGAGGTTTAGAACAGAGCAAAGTGAGGATAGCTGCCAGGCTGCATATTGAGAATAAGCCTTTTTTGTAAGCACACAGGTGAACAACTAAAGAAAAGGAACTATATTCTTAGCTTGCTTAGGGAAGTACTGTCAAATTTGACCTGAATTTTTTTTTAAAGGCTTTCAAAATTAAAGATCAGCAAAAAGTTTTCAAAATCTAACACTAAAATAGAACTACATCCTTTTTCTACAGTTTGATCTGAAAACGGAGCTGCTTTTCTATTGCTGAAGCTGAAAGAACTGCAAGACCCTTAAAAGCAGTTTGCTTGTTACTGCTGGAATAGGACAGTTCCATGAATGAGTGTATCACTATGACCACTTTGAGTTACTGCACTGTACAAAAACTTGGGTCAATTTTGCCACTTTACTTGGTGGCTTCTGTTGCCTTGTCTTAGCTGAAGCAATTGTTTGACAATCCAGTACAAAGCTGATTTGTTCTTTTTTTCCTGGCATTCCTATCAAAACAGTAAGCTTAGGTGAGATTTGCAGAAGTCTAGAGACAAGCTGAATACTTCAGCTTTGCATGAGCCATCAAATTGCAAGCAAGGGGATCTTTCTGGAGCTCTTGTAGCTGTAGGTCTAGGTGTTTTTATAAAACCTCTCTGCTGGCAAGTAGGAATCGCATTTCAGCTACTTCTCACAGTACTGGAAAGACAAGTTCCTGAACGGGGCCACCTGGAGAGTGCTCTAAGCCTTCCCTGGAGAAGGGTCTGCATTCCCGAGCTGTGAGCTCGCGCGTCGCTGCCGTCGCGTGCGCGTCTGCCCTGGGCTCTGCAGGGGGGTCCCGGTGTTTGGTGCCCTCCGCCCGGCGCCGTCTCGGCAGGACGGGCGCTCCTGCCCGCAGGACGTGCGCAGAGCGCTGAAGGAAACGACGGGTTTGCACCGTATCAGGCAGGACGTGTTTGGGTGCCTGGACAAGCTCGTTCTTTGTATGGTCCTGAGGAGACAGAATGGTCACGTCTAAGATGAGATTCAGTGGCATTTGGGAAGAGCTTTGTGAACCTAAACTGACCCACTCCAGAAAACAATCCATTCTTTAACGTGGTATCACAAATCTCTACTGAGATTAGAGTTCATCCGAGTTCCTTTTTTTTTAATTTATCAATTATAGATCATTTCCATTTAAACAGTGCTGAAGGAAGTATTTGTAAATATCACCAGATGGTTTTGAGTATTTATTTCTCACTAAACAATTGACTTTTGCTTCCTAGCATCTGCTTAATTATACAGTTGGTTACTGTCATTCCCCTCTGCTTATGCCCATTTTAATATTTCTCAATATTCTCTACTTTGTTCCATCTACGTAAGGTGTATTTTGTTCTAATTCAGCTTCTTCAACAAGGATGTGAAGGATTTCTCTCCAACATCTGCATCCTGCCTTTGAGAGTTTGCAACTTAAGAGCAGCCCACTACAGCACTATGTGCCTTGGATCTTTCTGGCTGTGTCCTGCACACGATGGGAGAGTAAACTAGCTTTAACTTAAGTGAAGGTGGTGCAGTGTGTGCTGCGTTTGGTTATGGGCTTCTCTAAATGCAAATATTGGAAAAGTGTCCCTGCTACAGGGTCTCTCATTCACGTTGTAGCCCTTAGGCACTGCCCGGCACATCTAAACTTTCTTTCGTGTCCACTTCCAGCTATGAAGCAGAGCTGAATCCTGTAGACCATCAGAAGACCAGTGTTCTGAAGTACCAAATGGAGAAGAGACCATTTTTTGAAATGCCTTCCCATCTGGCTGATGTAGACTTGGATGAATACGACTATGAAGAGGACTTTGAGTAGTGACCGAGTCAACACGTGCAGAAGGAAAAGGACAGTCTGCAGCAGGTCTGCCGCACACCTGTACATTCGGTGGGGTTTGTTTCCAGGAAGTCAGCTGAGTTTTGTGCTAAAAATATTTAATCACTAGACTACCTTTTAAAGAAGTGCATTTGTATGGAATGATGAAACTTTTTGTATTTATTCAATAGTCTATAGTTTGTTTAAAAAAAATAGATTAAAATATTTATTTATAGATGTTGCATAATTCCTTCTTGGAAGAATAACAATATTTGACTGTAAAGTAATATACTGTTTTTAAGAGATGACTGTCTAACTCTGAGTTGATGTGTGGTGCACTGACCATCTCCGTCCCATCTGTAAAGACGCCCCTGTCCTGGAATGGGAAGCAAGGAGGCAGTTTCTATGTGACTTGCCGTGCGTATTGGCTCAGGGCAGTTTCTAGGGGGTTCTTCCTGCCTTGGCCAGGAAGAGCTGCCTGCGAGTGCCTGACTTGGCTCTGCTTGGCAAACGCTGTTTCGTTTGGCAAGCCGAGCGCATTAGTGTGCGTGGAAAACGGCCGGCTGAAACACGTTGCTCCTCTCTTCTGTGTAGTCCTTGTTTGCCCCAACTTGAACTTTGCTTGCCCTTTTAAACCTAAGTCGTTTCATTGCTGTTCATGATAAAAAATTATTTAATAATGAAGTCCGTTTTTGTGTTCATACTTGATCCAAAATGAGTGTTTTAATTCATGTAGAAGGAACCAATTTTTGCCAAGTCCTGTGTCTAAGTGTTACTTGATGAGTGATGTGCACTACTCTGTGTGGGCAGTCAGTGCTCCCGCGTGTGCCCTGCCGTCGGTTGTTTGCTACTGACACATTCCATGGATCTTCAGACAGTGTCACAGCAGCTTGAAATTGTTGCCTCACTTTACTGTTAAACAGTTTTTGTTGAAAAATGTACAAAAAGATGTAAGTTATTTTGGTTGCAGTGTAGATCTCAAATGTTTAAAAATCATGTTTGTATTTTCAAATAAAGATTTTCATACATGCAACTTACTGATTCTACTGGTGTTTACTACATACAAATAACTTCTTATTAAAGATCCCTTTAAGATAATATGGGATACATATGAATGCATTCTGGTTAGATAATTGCAGCAAGTTGCATTTTCAGAAAAATCAAGCTCTAGCAGGTTTTTCTTCCAAAAGTCAACATTTCTAAACAGCTGGAAGTGGTACAGAAAAAGCAGTTCCACTCAGCTCATGACAAGATTTATATGAAGGGGCTTAGAAACCTGTGTCACTAATCTCTAATGTGTAATAGTGAAATTTTACCAAGGAAATTCAAGTTATTCTGCTCCTGTTACAGGTTGGGATTTTCTTTTTAATAAAGCTATGGTGTGTTGTTATAATGGAGTTTCCATTAAGTGTTGACTTTCTTTAGTGTTGGTCAGACACCTTCCCCATGTCCTTACCTTTGTTTTAATTGTATTTATGTATGTATGTACAGGTCACTTAAAATTTAAATCCCCTTCTCCCAAGTCCTGTGTGGAAAGAGAATGTCTCCTGGAGAGAAAATCCAATCTCAGACCTCTTGTGCTGTTCAGGAGAGGTTCATCTGCTTTTTCCCCTCCCTGCTACTCCACCTAGAAGTTGGCTTCATATGAACACTTGCAGCCAGACCCTCACACATACCCTGGCCCTTTCTCCTCCCACAGCGATGCTCCTCTATTAACCACAAACTAGTGAGGTTTCTTGGCAGAACTAAAAGGCAGTTTTGCTGCTTTATATTTGATGAAGACGCTTTAGCCTTTAGAAGAGTCTAACAGGTCTCTTCTGGCTCCCCAGCCTGTGTTTGGGCATGCTCTGCGCTTGTGGACGAAGGCAGCGTCATGGTGCTGAAGCAGTTTCTGAAGGCCAGTGCACCGCTGCGTACTTCCAGGTAGTGAGGGGGGATATGGAGTGAGCCAGGGGGCATCAAAAACAAAATGATGTGAGTGAGACTCTACATGAGTCAGTAAAAATGCTGAAGGCCACAGCAGCCTTGAATTTCTCCTGAGACTGGAGCATCTAGAACCTCTGTTCTAACTCCAAGAGGCAAGGAGGGCTGGGAGGGGAGCTGCAGCCTGCTCCCCACTTCTTGCACTCGCTTGGTGCCTGCCTGGAGGGTTCCAAACGAGGCCCAGAGCTCTCTGTGCTCTTGCTCTCTCCGGGGTGGCAGCCGGGGCCTCCACTTCCATGTTCTCAAGAGTTCCTTCATGGTATGATACTCTCAATGAAAGGGGCAAACTAGGAGGCTGCTCTCTCCACTGCTGGTCCTTCTCCAGACATGGGGGGGCTTTTTACTCGCACTGGCCCATGCTCATGGTAGTGGTTATGTGGTTTATTTTGTACAGTTAGAACCCAAAACAGAACAAAGAGAAAGCAGCTGGTTGAAGATAGAATTACTGCGGCGCACAAACCCACGGAGCAGCGACAAAGCGGCAGCACCAGCAGTTACAACCGTCTGCCCCTGCCTGCTGCCTCCAAAACACTCTCAGGAACATTTTTGGGAAAAATGGAAAAGCTATTTTTGAATTACTATTTTTTTTACAGTCTATTTACATTGTATTTTCAAGCTTTGCTTTCCAACACATTATCAGTGCGTGAAAGATCTATACCAGAGGAACACTTAGCTGGTCCATGGTGTTTTTGTTCTTTTTTCTTTTTATATTACAAGTCCTGATGCAAGTTTCCCTGGAGTAGACCCTGATTCCCACAGACAACTAACTACAGTTTTATAAACATCAGCAGTACTTTTAGGATCGCGTGTTTCTATTCTACGCGTGCGCCGTTGTAGCCAGGCCTCGCCGCAGCACCCAGGGGTGCCGTGCTCGCCCCATGGCCGTTCCCAGGCTGGCCCCACGGGCTCTCCCCAGGGACACAGGAGGGATGTGCAGGCCCCAGCCCGCAGCAGAGCGTGCGGCCAGCGGAGCAGCGCCCGGGCTGGCCGAGCCAGGCGGTCTCACCAGGCGCTGCGACACCCCCAGCTACCGCGGCTGAACTGCCCCATCCCAACACTCAGCTGGGCCGTGTTCCAAGGCAGGACAGAGAGCAACGTTTAGCAGTAACGCCCAGAACTCCCACCCCCTTCGAACCAAGGAACGGCCACGCGCAGAGCTCAAGCCCAGCACTAGCAACTGGTTCTGGGTGCCCACCCAGGGAGAGTTGACTTAGTATCTATCATTCGCTACTTGCTGGCTGGGCTTTAGGTACCCAGAAATAACTGGCGCTCTGCCTTGGCTGGTGCTGTCACAATCGAGTTTTCAGTTAAGCAGTTTCCAGAAAGAAGTGATAGCAGGTTCTTAACTTGCAGTGCTCCTGTCAACTTCTTCTCAGCTGTCCTACACCAGAAGGAGGAAAAAAAAAAGTATTTGAGTCAGTCATACTGTCGAAAAGCATCATATAAGTAAGTGCACAGAGGGAATCAGAATAAAGATGAGGGGCCTCTATCCACTTACCTATTGACTGTTATTTATCTATATTGCCTATTCACAGGAGCTTATTTGAGACCTTGCACCTGCCCGTCCCAAAGAGCTGGACGAGCCTGCACTGCTGCGAGCGCTGGGTCCTGGGCAGACAGACGCAGTCTGGCTACACCCACACGTGCTCCTGGAGGCAAACAGTGCCCACAAGACAAAGCGCAGGCCATGCTGGGCGCCCTCCAAGCCCACAACATTCCCATGCTTCCCTCTGCCATCTCCCAGACAGGCTTTCATGGAGGGGACAAGAGCCAAAGGACGTGTTGCAGAGCCCCCTGCTCCGGGATGGCCACTGGCCAGAGCGGAGCCCCTCGCTGCACGAGCCCCGTGCGGACCCCACGGCTCCCCGCAGGCTGCACAGCAGCACCCGCTCCGCAGAGTGCCAGGGAGCCCAAGCAACACGGGCACACGGCTCCCAGTTAAGGAATTCCACAGTATGGGAAAAGGAGGCTGGGTCCTCCTCATAACAGATCCTAGCCGGTTCTCGGGATGTCCAGATGCTGCATCAAGAATTGTGCAGCTGTGGAGACAAACAACTTGAACATGGAGACCCCAGACAGGGCTGGAAAGCGGAGAAATGGCCCCCCTCCTTTCTCAGGCTGAAAGGGGTGGCAAATGCTGGGTGGCTCTGAACTCACATTCACGCTGCTCAAGCGCTGCTGCCCAGAGAGCTGCCTCAACTGCCATTACCTGCTCTGCACCAACCACATCGATATCAATGTCTTCATTTGCGTCTTGTGCTTGATCCTCTACTGAGACATCTTCTGTCTTGATCTCAGCTTGGCTGAAACAAAAAGCCATCGTGAGCAGCTGTTTAGAAGAGGTTCTGTGTTGCACAGCTCTGCTTAAGGCATTAAGATCTGGTTTTGAGATACCCACATGAGGTAGCCCAAAGTTTCTGGCCCAGAATTTCCAAGATACAGAACAGCTTATGCAACCACCCGCGTTTTTGTTTTGGTTCATTTTTTTTTTTTTTCCTATTTCACTTTCATGTAAAAGGTCCATGTGACTGGTGTCCCATGCCCTAAGAAATATGCTTCTTTCTGGGACTGGTGTTTCAGCTTTTAATCTCCCAACATAAGGAAAGGGCATGTAATGTCTCCATAAAGCAACTGTATTGTAGAAAAGGCCACTCCAGCTGTGCGCTCTGGCTGTGCTGCAGAGCCAGGGTGCAGACCCACTATTCTGCAGTACCACCAGTTCTGCACATGCTGCACAGGCAGATGCCTTCCTAAAAGCAAGTCACCAGCAACGCAGTAGTTGTTAGTCAGGAGCAGATCTGCAGAAACAAGAATCCTCTCTTTCAGACAGAGGAGGTGGCTGCACCAAGCAGCTGGGGACCAGCTGAAACCCCAGGTCCAGAGCAGTTGGGCAGGGAATCCTCGTTCTTTCTTGTCTTTTTCTCTTCCTTCTGGCTATTCCTGCAGGGAATAACCAGAGCCGTGGGACAGTGGGGAGGAATGGGGCTGAAGCAGCAGATGTAAACGCTGCTCTGAGGAGCCCCAAACCGCAGCCTGTCCGTGGGACACGGCCCGTAGGACGGAGGAGAGGCCCTGTCCCGTGGCAGAGCGCGGCGCCAAGCAGTGGCCGGGGCGCCGGGAGCGCAGCTCTCACCTGTGTCTCCCCTGCAGCGGCCCTGCCGGGGGGCACGGCCACGGCGCGCGGTCCCGCGCGGGCAGCGCTCGGGACTTGAGGTTCTTCCTGCTCTGCCCTGCTGCACAGGGGAGCTGGGAAGCACCGTGGAAGGCCGGATCGTTGCTTGCTGCTTCGGTGTGTCTGGTGTCAGGCAAAGACCCTGGGACGGACAGAAAACAGACGCTGTTCTTCAGCCTCACCCTCGAGGTCAAGAGATGGCCATTTCCCAGAGCGGCATTTCTGAACATGAGGAAGCGATGGAGACCAAGCTCAAAGGGAGACTTGGGGCAAAGCATTCATCTGCTGAAGGACCCAGCTAAAAGCCACACAGCAGAAAATCTAATTCAGCTGCCCCACTGGTCACTTCTGCAATTTAGATTTATGAACTTGTTCCCTGTCCATAAGTGTTACCAGCACTGCCAACTTTATGTAAACCTCAAGAAAGGCACCCTTGAGACACTAAGGAACAGGCTGTTTGAAGACAGTTCACTGAAAAGAAAAACTCCGACAAAGAATTAGGAAGAAACTAAAGGATGCTCTGGAAAAAAACACGCTTTCCTTCCCAAACCATATGTGTCCATAATACATGGCATTTTTATGGGCATCTGTTTTCATCATGGCTTTACTGCATTTAGCTAATCCCCACCATGCTGGAGGGCAGATACCTCACCACAGTCTGGAAAGCCACGAGCCCTGCTAAGGCCTGGATGTGGCCCTCGTAGCTGGCACCCCACACACTGGGAGTGCAGGCCTGCAGGGCCTGAGAGAGCCCATGGAGAGAAAGGCCCCAGAGGATGATCCAGCCCGGGTATCGGAATCGCCTCTGGAGCTGTCTCTGCCTTCGACAGCTACGAGACCCTAGAGCAACAGTGCCCGTAACTTCACAGCGAGGAGTCATGAACCCAGCCCCAAAGGCACAAACAAGGGCCGGAGCTCAGAGGAGAATACAGGATTATCTCAATATTCAGGGTCAAAGAAAGACCAACCTTCCTCCAAGAGAGTGATGAAAAGGCCTTTAGTAATAGCAAGGCTGAAGGAAAGAAACACATTTCAAACTGGAAGGTCTGCAACAGCCAAACTGTGGTACTGCTAACGCAAACCATGAAGACGTGGGGTTTTGCTGGGACAGAGCAGACCCAGCTGGTCCTGAACAGCAAAGTTTTCATACCATTAGACAATTTCCTTTTAAAAGAAGATGTCTTAGATGCGCCCACGGGGGACCACTCTCCTGTACTGCTGAGGACAGAGCTTTCCTCATCTTCACTTGCCAACAGAGAGTTTCTGTACCAAACCAAAGGCTGCCATTCGTCTCCTCTGCCAGACAGGGGTTCTGCTATATACCTCTGCAAGTAAGCGTACCTGGAGAAAACCAAAAGCAAGTGTAAGAAAATTCAGCAGCTTTTCCCTCGACACTCGGGAAATAAATTGTTAGAAAGGCTTTTTTTCCTTAACTCTTCAAAGAGCTCAGGCACAACTGTCAGCCACAAAAAGGAAAGGGCATCCTGCTTCCTGGAAATCACACTCAATGCAAGTGGCCTCAAAGCTAAGCGACTGCTGGAGCTTCAGCATTAGAAACCACCTTTGATTCCCGGGAAGTACCGAGCTCCGTCCTTCCTTCTCAGAGGAATCCCGTAGGCAGGACAGGTCACTGCCAATTGCTCCTGCCAGGCAGCAGTTTGAGCAGAAGAGGCAGAAGACGCTCCCCGTTTCCTGTGGCCTCAGTCTGCCTCACTGCTTGTGAGGCCAAGGAGACCCCAAGGGAGTGATCCTGCTCGTGATGCAGTAACACAGCAGGGCGGGAAAGGCGGGATTTGGGCTGGGAAGTGCCTGTTTTATCAGCATTATAAAAACAAACACTTTTTTTGCACCGTCACAACAGCCTCAACCCAGTTCTCTGAGGTTCACAGCAAAATTTCAAGTGTGTGCAAGAAGCTGTTAACAACGCTGCAGATAGAGGGGATGCAGGAAACATTGGTTCAATTATAACAGAGGGGATGCAGGAAACATTGGTTCAAATCCCTATTCAAACCAGAAACACGACATTGGGCCTCCCTAAATCTAGGAGAATGATTTAATCGCCAAACTATCACCTTTTCCGGAGCAAGGAGGTCTCTTTCCGAGATTCGTTTTGGAAAATAGAGGTTACTTGTGGCAAAAGTCTTTCTCACCCACTTCAGTCTCACACCAACATGAAACGAAAGGCAGTGGGACTCGGGATGAGCACCCAGATACTCACTACATTTCAGCTCCAGCTCCAAAACGAAGCCCAGCGCTACGAAGCCGCCCCTTGTCACCTGAGCAGCCCGACACCGGCCTGCCACGGTGTCCTGCTCTTCCTTTGATTAGGAGGGTGGCCTGGCAAATCTCGGCCGTTCCCGACGCTTTGCAGGACAGCAGAACTGCTGCTGGTGGAGCCGGGGGCAGGTGCCAACCCTGGGGCAGCGGGAGCCGGCCCCGGCGTCCTGCCCGTGCGGGAGCTGCTCCGTGGGCTCTCACCCACCCCGGCTGCCCCGGGCGCCCGGCCCTCAGGCCCTGCTCCTCAGCACCTCGCGTCTCGTGGTGTTTGGGGGCACGGGCCAGCTGACGAGCTGAGTATTTTGCTGCTATAGTCTGAGCAATTGCAGGAAGAGGAGGTTTAAGTCCACACACGTAGACGGTGTTGAAATACGCTCCTTTCTAACAAATGGCCATATTCTGTATCTCATCTGTTAGAGGTACATTCACATATGTTAATATAGAGACCTGCACATCAATCCTATGATTAATAACAAAAATGAAAATAACCAGATGTTTATTTCCAAAAGTTCATGTTGACTTAAAACATTCCATCCAGTAATTTATGATGCAGCTAAACCTAAATATTTCTACAAGGAAATATAATCTCCAGCCCCTGCAAGGCATTTTAAGCCTCCCAGAATAGAAACTCTAGAAACATGGGCTGAATGCAGTTGTGGACAAAACTGCAATTTCTCCCTGCTGTGAATTTTATTGTTTCCCATTTTTTTCCCAGCAGCAACAGAAACTAGAGTCAAGGAGCATTCCCAGATACGTTTTGTATCTGTCACAAAAGCTCTCAATGAACAAACCTGCCTGAATGTACATAATACTGCTTTCCTGAAATATACCCATAGGTCAGGAAGTTAAAAACAGCTGTAGGAGAAAAATTGCAAGGATATGGCCTTAAACCTGCCCACCTCAATAACAAAATATTTCCTTCTTGTTTAATTAAAAATACTCCCCAGAGGTAAATGAAATTATGAAGCTTCTCGAAGATGAATTAACAGAGGTCTGCTTCTTGCACAAATGCCACCACATTGATGATAGCAGCAGTTTTAAACCCAGACTGCATGGGTCAGGTTGCACAGAAGCTGCACAAAATCAGTTCTAGTGGTGCATGTCAAAGGTTCTGTCTGAGAAAAATGTAAGAATGGAAAGGACACTTATCACTACCTATAGATACCTTTGGACTACCAGATTTCTAGTCTGTCCACGTTAAATATTTTTTTCCTATGTTTTGCAATTTTTGTTTGAATTCATTTTTTAAAATATAGTTGCCATCTATATTTTAAAATGCAGTAATGCATTTTATTTGCCATAAAAATGCAAATAAAGGAAATAAAGGAAATTGCACGTTCTACTGCTCTAGACCTTTGCTATTTAAAAGCTGGTTTATGAGCCTCATGGAAGCTAAATTCCAATTCAAGGAAAAAATGACACAAGCAGCAAACAAGTTACATGGGGCTAAGTATGTTGCTTTGTTTTTTTCTACTTGCATCTCATCCAAAGTGGAACCCTTCCTCTCAGATACTAATTGGCTCAGAAATTCAAAAAGACAAATGTGACTTAATGCTTCATCTTAAAGTCACAAGTCTTCAAATACACTTCCAGGAAAAGGGAAATACCTGCTATATATTTTGAAATAATTTTCACAGTGTCTGTAAATAGAAGACTGAATTGCAGAGATCCAAAACAAGGCAGCACCCATCAGCAAAGTAAAGACAAAGGCCAAACAGAAGGAAGGGAATTCTTTCCTTCCTAAAAAAGAGCTGAGGCAGGTGAAGAGCCAAGCAATAAGAGAATCATCCATCTCTCTGGTAAGGACACATAATGCCCAGTGAGGCCACAAGAAAGATACTATTTTTATATTGTTAAATTTAAATATTTAAACCACTGTAAAACACAGTGGCTTTGAAGTAGAGCAGGCCCCATTTCCCTGTAAACAGCAAATTCTTAAACATCCCTGTTACGACATGGAACTTGCCATCCAGGCCTGAACTCGTGGAACTCGACCATCACAGAGCAACGATCCGGGCATCGCCTCTTCCTCGGCATTTCTGCCTGCCTTTCCCTTCAGGACAGTGTTCCTGCTTCTCCATTAGCCACTCAAATTGCAAACTCCTTCCACCACCAAAGGTGGAGAAATTCCTACATGTGCCTGCCTAAGAAAGGGCTGGAATGGATACTGCATATATAACCTGGACTAACTGCTCCTACAAAACTAAATGGAAAGCAGCTCAAACAAGTGACCCTCCAGCCCACAGCTGATGGATTTCAAAAGTTCTCCGAGTAATTTTTCCACCATTGCAGGTGAAGCATCCTATCCACCTGGATACACAGTCCACAAACTGTCCACGTGGGGCAGGGTACAAGAACTTAACTTACACTAGTCTTTTGTCAGGCTTTAGCAGCTTGTTGGAAAATTCACTGATGATTAACAGAAAGCTTAGCTTAGGAGGCAGGCATTTTCCATCCATTCCAGTAGCTCCTTGAAAGGCAAATTCAATTCCTTCCCTATTAGGAGGGAAAAAATAGAGAACAAAGTAACATAATAAACAAGTAATAAAATCAACAACCAAGGATCAAGTGACGTTATGTGGCACTTACTTGTGTATCATGGCCACAGATTCTCTAGATTTCACCTGGTCCCAGCCAAACGTTAGTGAAAATCGACGCGCGAGCTCCTTCATGTTTGTGAAGGAGGCAGAGGACAAGTCCACCCCGCTGCCGCCGTCCTGGCTTTCCAGGTGTGCCTGAAACAACTGGAAGAAAACAAAACAAAAGGCCTCAAATGACAGATACATAAACCTAAAGGCAAGCAAAGCATCAGGAGGACGTGGAGATGCCCACCAAGCAACAGAATGTCCACACAGACAGAAGCCTTGCAAAAGAAGAGGCTTCTCATGTTACTTCAGGAGGAAACAGCACTGGGATAAGCACAAGGAGACTAGCACAAAGGACACTGTTGTATTTAACAGACAGACAGAAATTTAAATGAAAAAAAAGGTGTATACACAGAGAAGCACCCCTTGAACGTGATGACCCCTTGGACGCTCCTGTTGGGACAAGTCCTATCAGCCCGAGGCCCCAAATCTGCTGGGGAGGTTTTCAGAAGATCAGAGCACAGACAGACAGCAGCAAGTCTGGCTGCAGTGTGCTCCAATTTCTCGAGCCAAAGGAGGGTCTCAAGCCCAACTGCTATCATTATTTTTCCCCTAAACAGAGCAAGGAACTAGCTTCTTCCCTGCAACCTGCAGATTTTCAAGGTCAAACACAGCCCAAAGAGGGCCCGTTGTCTATGTGACATGTAAACACCAAACCCTGACTATGTCAGCAGAATAGCTGTAGCCAAATGCTGCCTACCGTCATGTGAGCTCAGATTGCAGGGGCTGGTTCGCAGCCCTAAGCCCCTGGTGATGTGTGCGACACGAGCAGGGCTCGAGTGTCAGCGGGCGCAGGAGGAGCCAGCGCTGGCCCCGCACGGACGCCAGGAGCCCCGCCAGGAGCAGAGCTGCACGAGCAGCTGCTGGAGGAGCTGCCCGGCCTCCCCGGCCAGCAGCTGCAAGCCCCAGCAAGCCAGGCCCTTCAGAAGGGCTGTGCCCCTCTCTCTGCCGCAGGAAAACATGCTGAAATTACAGGGCTTGGAACCGGCTGGGCACAGACACGTGTGTGGGTTTGTAAACCCAGCAGGAGTTGAGGGTGGTCAGGAAAATGCGGAACACCGTTAGCTTAACAGCTACCATGTCCCATGTCCTGTGTGTCTTTAACCACAGAGCTGTCACCAATCCTAATATTATGTCTCTGATGATTTAAAGTAAAAAAGTGCAAAAAATTACATTTTAGAACTGAAATCAGTTCTAGTTATGAAATTCTAGGATACATACACATAACAAGTAAAATCAAGGAATGTCTTCCATGAATGAGTATGAATGATTATGGCAAGGTAGGTAAAGAACCCCAATGTCCATATAGCTGTCCTAAGAGCTCCTGATCTCCTCTTTAATCTTAATCTTACCTGCTGCAGACAGAGAATCAGTGTCTTGGCACTCTGAATTTTGTTACTGTGCCTCGTCCTGCTTAGTGTTTCTTTAATTATGTCTCCAAAATCATTGTAGGTCTATTAATAGCAAGAAAACAAATGCAAATTATCATTCCTGTTGTGTAGCGATGGGAATACACAGAACATTCAGGTTACAAAAGAAGTTCATAAAACACAACCTCTAGTGCACCCAAGTCAGAAGACAAAAACTGGACTTTTTGTATTATCTTATACATAAAAGAATGGTATGCTCCTTTATGAGCAATGAAAGGTTTAAACTTACTCTAATTAAGTTTTTTTATGACAAAAAACTCAAGTGCCTTTAGTACAGGAATACAGAGTTTTTTATATAGGGCCTTTCCCTTGCCTCGGGTCCCATGAAATGAAGATCAAGACCCATCATATTCGGGTATTTGCAAAGTCCTGTTACGTGGCAGAAGGCAACTGCCCACTCTGTGCTGTAGTTAGCCCTCCTGACCCACACTTTGGAGGGGCTGGAGCTCTACCAGCTGTCTAGGCATTGGGACCAGAGGAAATCTGGGCCCACTGCTAAGATGCACCTCTGCCATGGGCTTTTTGAGAAGCCAGGGAGCAGATGTTCAGGCAGAACCTACCCTCCTCTCAGCTTGCAGCTACCTGTCTGCAGTGAGGCATCTTTGCAGAGCAATAAGGGTTTACAGCCTTTTCATGACTGAAAGGATTCTGAGCCATGAGACTATAAACCCTATGCCTTGCATGAACACGAGAGTCACTCTCAATGACTGAAACACACTGATAAGCCAAACCAGCAGATCTAAAACCTTACCTTCATATAATGCTTATAGATCTCAGCAGCTGCAGCCATCTCCACCACATTATACACTATCAGCTTGCAATACGCTGCGAGAAGACGCCGCTTTTTGTTCAAGTCATTCAGTTTGTAGTTTTCATCCTTTCCCTCCTCCTCTCCTGTCAGGTCTAGGGAAACAAAAATACTGAAGCCTTGTTCTGTGACTTTATTCAAGGTATCTCAATTTTAATGACCAACTTTCATTCTGTAGTCAGGCTCAACTGTTAGTCAACTCTCTAGACAACAGATGCTAGTTCACTTGTGCTCAGTTCTGCATATATCAGAAGACACAGGTTTATTTCCATTTCAAAGCTTCCAGCTGATGACAGTGAAAGCCAGCTATTTACACAGTCTTCTACTCTGATCTTCCCAGGGATTTCTCACTTCTACTAGTCAGAATCTCCTTGCACAACACTGCTCACACCTGCAGAACAGAATCAGAGTGCAGAATAAAAAGCACAAACATACCAAATGCAAGAGACAGACAAATTGTAGCCACTTTTTTTTTCTTTTGAGTAACACAAATGCTAGAAGACCAGCATGTAACATTAGCAGCCCTACAAAAGCTCCCCTACACAGTCAGTAACAGTTTAGGTGAAACTTTCCAAGCGGTTATCACAAACATGAAAGAAAAAAAGTCATTTTGTATCATTATGAATATGCTAAGTCTTGGAAAAATGATTGATTCCACTTGAGGAACTTAGGAAAAACAACTATTCTTAGTGGTGTAGGTCTCCTTAGACAGCTATGAAGGTACTCGAAGGAGCTTCTTGTAATAGGAAGGCTGAGATACACTCTTTACTGCTGTGAATGTAATCTGCTGTTGACAGAAGGTACACTCTTTGACCTGTAATTTTGACTTGTCTCTTTCTGCTTTTACCACCATGGGCCTGGAAACAAGAGGCACGATCAACTACAGCAGCTTCAGATATGCAGCATATATTCCCAAAACATAACCTGTTCCAAAAACTCCTGCGACTGGGATACTACAACTTCATTGGGCAATGTTTTCTACAGCATCTCCACTTTCACCCTTAGGGAGTCTCTCCTAGTCTCTCCCTTCCTGCAATATAGGCTCATCCCTTCTTGCCATGCACATCGTGTCCTGGAAATGTGTGATGCCCAAAACTGGACACCAAAGTCCACCTGAACAGCAGAAGGACAGAGCTGACAAGGTAACATTCCATTCCTTGCGGGCTATATATGCCAGTTTGCAGGCCCTAGGAACATACCTGCCTTCTGCTTTGCTTTTTGAAGCACACTGTTTAGCTTTGGTCTCAAAAGCACAAGGAACTACAAATCTCTTTTCAAAACAAGAAACCAGCCTTCACAACAACAGCTTCTGTTTGGCAGCTGAATTGGCATCCTTCCTGCAACATCCACTAACACTTTATTCTGAGGGATTTGAAACTCTCCGTTCATTGACAGCGTTGCCCTGTAGCACTGCAAGTCTTTTCAGGAAGGTGGTTAACACGATCTGAAATCTCTGCCACCAAAGTCAGGCTGTCAAATGCTTTTACATTCTCATGCACACCTGTGTCACCTCCTTGGCAATATTCCTACGGTTGATCCAGAGTGGATATAAATCAGTGAATGGCAAGTTAGTCATTCTGTTTGTAAAGGGGCTAAAACGCAGACCAGTCCCTTTCCTGGGTATACTCAATGCAGAGGACAAATGACAGCAAAAATGGTACATTGCTTCTTCAGTGCTGAAGGTGCCTAACCTTTGCTTTCCTCTTGCTCCTCCTTGAAAACATGTTCCTGGATAAACAAAAGCAGTTTTTCCTGAAGTGAAGTGCTGGGAAGGTAATCTAGAAGTCTTGCTGCTTCAGTATTATTTGCATCTTGGTGACTCAAAATCAGCAGCCAGTCACAGAGTATCATGAAGGCCTGTATCAAGCAAGCAAAGCCAAAGGAGGTTTTAGTAACCATGTTGCTTTTCATACCAGCTCCGCTTCTCACATCCATCACAAACCACAAATCACGATCTGGCTTCTACTCTGAATGTCTTCTTCATGGGAAGGAGGCTGAGCTCTACTTTGCCCCAAGATCTGCCTTTTAACATATGTGAATCACTGCACAATTTCTCCCAGTTTTTCATTTTTGGAATAATATTCTCAGTAAGGCCATAATGCCTTGCTGAAGACATGACAGCAACAAATACACCAATGTCAGCCTAATCAGAAAACACAGTGATTATCAGCTGGCAAATTCAGGCTTTGATTGTCCAGCTGGAACCATGCAGACATAGACCCCTGCTTGATTAGAACACTCATTCTTGTAGCGCTTTTATGGACATAAGTTTACTTTTCTTTTTAAATAAATAGTTGAGGATTTTTTTAAGAGGCACTTCTCTGCTAAAAGACAAAAATATTGCAAAAATCTACTGAAGGAAATGCTAGTATGAAAGGAAAAGCATTTAAAAGGAGCGACTATGAAAGCCAATCAAGTGACAGAAAAACACTGACCTTTTCTCTTACATCTTTCTCCTTATGGTGGAGAAAGCACATGCAAATCTGACAGAAACGTCTCAGCTCTCTCCTTAATGCCAAAAGGGTCTCCTAGAAATACAGGAAAAGTGACAGGTCTAAGGAGTTAGGGACTACTAGTCAACAGAGTACTACAGAGCAAACTTAACAGTTAGATCTTTTTTCCACAGATAGCATTCATTTTGGATAGCACAGCTCATGGCATTATGAAAAAGACTAACATCTCACAGTTGAGGCCAGTTTACCAGATAGGAACAGCTTAAAAAAAAAACACAGAACAATACAAAAACAAAGCAACAAAAAATGTCTCGCTTTCAGGAACCATTCTGGGGTAGAATGGCCAGCCCATAAAAACATATTGTTTTTCCTCTGCTCCAGTGCAGAAAGGTGACAAATCCTGGAGGGACAGGTGCTCAGGCTACTGGTGTTCAGCAAGTCGCAAACTCCTTGTTTCTCCATCTCTAGGATAGGCAACTCTAATAATATTTATTTACTTATGTGATTCTCTAAACATCCCTAAAATTGCAAAATTCACTTCAGTTTGTTCTTTAAAAGTAGTGATACTAATGTCCAACTTAGAGGTGGGTGTAGAGAATTAAAAACCTCGTTCTATCCCACCCAGTTTGCAGCACCCAACACCTGAATTGCCCTCTTGGACCTGCCCTGCCCTCTCTCTGGGCACAGGTAACACAGGTTAACGGCACTGCCAGCTTTGGCACTCCCAGGCGCGGGCACCTCTGTTAGGATAAACCCAGCAAGAGAGACTTCTTGATCTGCCACATCAAAGACCTGCTGATCCCAGGCTAGGCCCAGCTGCTGGAGCGCACGGAGCCCTCAGCAGGCAGTAGGAGAGGAGTGGATGCCCTTCTGGGCAGGCTGGATTTCCTGCTGTGCAACCGCCTCTTTGTCAGAAAGAGGATCCATCCCAGGAAAGGCTGGGAGGAAGAGGAGGGGGAGGCAAACATTGCCTTAAGAGCATTAGGGGAGAGGGAGGAAGAAACATCCCGGAGCTGCTGTCCAGGAAATGTTCTTTTCTGTTCTTGGACCTGCTCTCTGTCAGCATCCAGACCGGGTGCTGCCGAGTGGGCCGCAGCACCTCCCTTCCAATCCAAGCCTGTTCCCATGCGAAAGGCCAAGTTCAAAGTCGTGCTGCCCGTTATCAGCCAAGCTAACTGTGCCTGGATTGAAAGGCAGAGCGTATTAGAGCAGGGAGAGACATGGACACCCACTCAGGAATGCAGTGGGCTGGGAATAGATAGTGAATCAGGCAGCAAAAGGGGGGGCCTCCCAGCTGGCGTTTCTTGCACAAAACAAATGTGCAAGTCAGTGCCCTGCCCCACACACAACAGCGTCGGAGCAAGGAGACACAGTGACAGGAAGCAGCAACACTCAGTTTCTCCAGAGATCACCATACAGAGAAACTGCAAAGGTACCTGTCTGCTTTTGAATCAAAGAATTAGAGAGTTTTTCTCTCTAGTATTTAAAACTAGAATGTCTTTGGAAATAGCTGGCAGAGCTTGGGAGCTACATAAAACCCATTATCCCAGGGAACAGTCAGCTCAGGACGATATTACCAAACACTAGCAACAACTTTCTGCGTACATCACCCAATACATAAATAAAACAAGAAAATCAGAATAAAATAAAGCCATAGGACTTCCTGGAGTTTTCACAGAATATTTTGTGTTGCTTAAAACAAGAAAATAACAAACTGTTTGGCACTAGAACAAGCTCCTTGTCTCCATCAAGCACCAGGAATTTGTAGCACATGTTTTGCAATAAAAATAGAGGTGAACTACTGTTCAGTTATTCTCTTGCAGACTGAAGAAGCATAAACAAAAAAAAAGGGGGGGGAAGGTAGGAAAGGTGAGTGGAGAAAGGGGAAAAGACAGAAAGAAGAAAGAGAAAGGTGGGAGAGTGAAAGAGTGGGGAGAGAGGGAGAAAAAGGGTAGAATGGGAGAGAGGAAGAAGAGGGGCCAAGAGACAAAATGCTGCAACTGAATTTGTTTTCTTCAAGAAAACATATGAATTATCATCTTGAGAAAGCTTGTCTTTTCTGATCATCTGAGATTAGAAAAGCAATTTAAACTTCTAGAAGCACAACCCTAGGTTTCAAAATGATACCGAGTAGACAACCTTGGCAGAATTTTCCGCAACTGCAGCTACTTGCCACAGGAGAGAAAAGTATGTGCACTGTAAAGCTGGCAGGATCATCTGAAAAGAAAAACATAAGTCCTTTATTTACATGGAAGTCTTTACAGCAAAAAGCTCAGGACTAAGCATTCAAGCCTGGCATTCTGCTCACTGCTTGTACTACTATTTCTGCCCTGTAAGGCATTTAGACCCCCAAAATAAACTTAATATGTTCACATACAACTAAATGATGCCTCCTGAAAAAGTTATTTATTGACTAAGGTCCTGTTTCTGCAGAACAGAAACACACATCGTTGCAAATTCATTTGAACGCACAGGGGAGTTCACAGAACTTTTGGTTAGCTTCTTAGGAGCTCTCTCCAGTGTCTGAATAAAGCAAAGTCCTCCCAAAGGCAATTCACAGGAGAAGGCAAACCTTGGTAGAGCCTAGATTTTAAATGATTCCTCTATCACAGGTCTCCAAATCTACTTGGAATCTACTCATTCCTATAACGTTACAGCAAAGGTGGCCTTAGTTTCCCAAGCTGAGAAACGGAAACAACCCCTTCCTGCATCACAGGACACTGGCATATACAGAATGTTTAGTACGTGCTTGCCTTTTCAACAAGGAAAATCTCTTTCTGTGTTAAGTATCAACAACTTACCTGACCAGACAAACCCCCATGTTCCATTTCAAACACCAGCAACCTTGAAGTCTTGTCATAAAGACTCCACTTGGTGAGATCATGGGCACTGCAAGTAAAAAAGAAGCAACAATAGCCTAAGCAAAAAATGGAAACTCACCAAGTAAGTGAAACTAGTGCCATTTTTGCCTACAACTAATGTATAGCAATAACTTTAAACAAAATCTAAGTCAAACCACACGACAAAAAATAGCCTAGTTTTCTGGGTATTGAACCCCTCACTATGATCCTGAGGTTAAAACAAGTGACTGCCTACTACGCAGAGACCTCACTTGAGCAAATAAAATGCACCGACCTTCCAACAGCACATTAAAGCTGGTCAGTACCTTTCCCCCTTAGCAATGAAACTGTCTGAGAAGCACCTTGTGGATTCTGCCACTATAAAAAGATAATAATCAAAGAAAAAAAAAAGTAAATTAAGTTTTTGCATGGCCTCGTGTTGGCTAAAAGCTTTAGTTCATAGCTTCATCTATAAAACAGCAGTGTCCATGAATACAATAAAAAGAAAATCAATTTCAGTAACTTTCTCTACATTTTATATCTGCACCCTCAAAGTGCCCCAAGAAGGTCTAAATACTAATACTTTTTCTCTTGAAAAGAGTGTGTTTTTAGTACTCTTGAGTGCTTGCAAGCTGCTCAGTGTTAGACTTCTCTCTGGAAAAATAGAGCAACCTTAGTAATCAAGAGAGGCAAGCCGCATTGAGCCCATAGCCCAATTATCCCAATTATCTACTCTTTCGCCTATTAATTTACTTAGGGAACTATCCCAGGAAGAGCAATCCCAGAAAATCCCAGAAAAAGCAAGATTGCGCTCACTATCCCCCCCAGCAAGGTGACTGTCAGTGCTGAGAGCAGGACAGTGCCACAGCATCCAGCTAGGAGAGAGACTGCAACAACCCAGCTGAGAGGA